CACTTCTGACCCTATGCCTTAGGAACAGAGTTTGTACAAATTTCTTCACTGTGGATACCTTCTGCTGTCAGGAGGCAGTACAGGAAGGAAGCTCATAGGAATAAAGTTTCCTGATTGGAATATAGCATGTGGGCTTAATTTCTGCTCTTGTTCCTGACCATTAAAGACAACAAGAGCAGCAACTACCATGGGAATTTTAAAGATGGGTATTGGAAGGTAAGCAAACAGTTGAAAAAAGCAAACAGTCCCTATGGGTTGGCGTCAAAGACCAAAGTCTGAAGGTCCAGCACTAGAATGTATCATCTGTGTGACCTTGGGCAGGTCACTCTTCATCTCTGAGCTTCAGTTTATTTCTTTGTACCTAGGATGTTACAGTAAGATGGAAATGATGAGATAATGTTTGTGAGAAGTATTAATTGTAAAGTGCTACATAAGTATTTTTTATCCTAAGTATAATAACTATCCTCCTCATCATAGAAGTGAGCCTATTGCCAGACTCCTGAAATGTGCGGGGACATGGAGACAACTTCACAGTAGTTCTAGAGAGCGGCTCATGCAGCTTCAAGGTTGGCTGGCCACTCTGTCCAGTGGAGGGGAGACCAGTGCACTTGGGGGCTGGTGCAGAGTCTCAGGGAGCATCTTGAAGTATTTTGATTAAGAGACCATTTCCTGAATTCAGAGGACTTGTTTCAACACGCACGCATCAAAGTCAACTTGGGAAAGACAAGAATAATTAATCACGGTCCTGTCTAGGCCTGACCAAGTGGCAGATGGATTGATAAACCTTTCAAAGGGGAAGGTATTCCCAGGGAGGGCTGCTGCGCCTGGCTGCCCCCCGATTGAGATTTGTGAGCACAGATAAATGTTTTCCCTGCTCACTACAAAGAGAGGGAAATCACATGGGAGTCGAAGGGCAGGGCAACCAGGGGTTGTCCTTTCATCTTCTATTGGGTGAGAGAAGAGTGGCAAGGCAGGTCCCACACACCTCTCCCTCTACTCTCAGCTCCTGAGTCTGGCTACCCGGGCCGTGTGTGTGTTTCAGCACCTAAGACACATCAAGCACTTAATCAACATGACCTCACTGAATCCCCGGAACAAGTAGATGTTATAGCTCTCATTTTAAAGATGAAGAAATGGAAGGCTCAGGGAGATCAAGGTCACTGAGCAAATGGCAGAATGAGGAATAGAACCCACCTGCTCTACTACACTTTACATGGGCCAGGAGGAGAGGAGGGCAAAGGAAAGAACAGAGAACCCCAAGCCCATGGATGAGGTATGATCTGCAGGGCTCAGATGGCAAAAAGATCAACAAGACCAAAACCTGCTGAGTGCCTCTGACATGAAGTTCAAGGTCATCACTTCCTTATCTAGTAATCAATAAAGGCCAAATAGTTCCCACACTGCACAGACCCCAGCTACTAAAAGATCTTATTGTGTTTCTCTGGAATTGTCATCCATGTTCAGACATCTTGTCCTGTTTTCTAACTCCTGGTGTCCCGTTGCAGTCCAGCTGTCTGAGCTACAGCTAAGTGATGAGCCTCGCCATTAGCCGTCTGTCTTTACCACACCACCACTGCTATGTGGAGGTGGGAATTAGTCATCAACTGAAACGGTGACTAAACCTTTGGATTTCCCACTTTCAGTGCAGCAGGAAGTTGATTCTAAGTTTCTTGATAAAACTCCAAGTGAATGCAGACCCCTGGAAAGGCCGGGCCATCTACTGGGGAGTCCCTATGGATTGAGAGACCTGGGTCATTCCCTGGAGCTTAGGGTATTCCGGGTCCCATATGGGTCCTGGACTGGGAGAATCAGCTTCAGGACCCCTGAATCACTACTCACTTTCTCCATTGACTACCTTGTGGATCCTCAGGGATCCCTCTTGCAAAGCATGAAACTGAACAGAGGGTCTGACCTCATGAGCCCTCCTTGGGAATACCTTTTCCATGGATCTTTCATCATTCCATTGGGGAATGCTCAATCTCAATGCCTAAGAGCTGTGTGTACTCTCCAGCAACCTATTAAACTTCAATCCTTGCTTCGTGCTCTTGTTGGGGAAGCTAGGTGAGCAATAAACCCCTTTCACCTGTGGCCTATTTTTTTTTTTTTTTTTTGCCCTGGGACCTCAGGGGTTCCTTTGGCAAGTAACTGGGAGCCTGGGAAGGACCAAACTATGGCTAAGCCCATGCTTGCCACACCCTCCACACATCAATAACCTTAGTCATTCCTCCCTCCCCCAATCCTACTGGCATTACCTGTTTACTGGAAGACATGTTGGTGAGTGTACTGATGCTGCTGGTGTCTGTGACCACCATCGCAGATGGAAACCGGGAGGTGTGGGAATACTGGGGGGGTTCCTGCTTGTGTGCGTACACTGGAGAGACAGAATAAAGACAAAATTAAGGTGCATACGCTGGCACATACACTACTACAGACCCTCCCCCCCATCCCACACCATAGCTCCTCCTGTTTCCCGGGAAGATAAAAGGGGATGGTGGTTATGTTTGGGAAGGTGGTGGGATGTGGTTAAAAGAATGCCTATGTGTTTAAATCCTAGCTCCATAATCAAGTTATTTAACCTCAGTTCCCTCACCTGTAAAATGGGGATGATGTTTATTGTAGGATTGGAAGAGATCATGTTTAAAGTATTTGTACTAAATAAACAGCCTTGCACAGCTCCTAGTATGTAGTGGTACCTAGGAGCACTTCTGTTTCCCTGACTTTCAATAAAATATTAGATGCCGGGGCATCATCAAGTGACTCATAGGCATATGTAGTGCATCTGAGATTTCAAGTCGAAAAATATTCTAAGTAGCAGGCCAACATGAAGTATCTTGCCAGCACATGCTTATGGTTTCTGCCATGACTCAAGTACCAGGTTTCATGCTAGCAATGGTAGATTGATTAACAATTGTAATTAGAAACAGTATGATTAATTGTATAATTCTGGGCTGTTCCAGTTTGCATTAAAAGGATATAATAGTGTTATAACATCACAGGAATATGAAAGATGATAGACAAATGGAGACCAGATTCAAATAAAACCTCCAAGAGCATGTTACTCGAGTTTTTGTTTTTTTAGTACTTGTCCACCAAGTCTGGAAACTTCTTTAAAAAAAAATTCTTTTTTTTTTTTGAGGCTAGTCAAGTGAAGAAGTCTGGAACCTTTCGAGTCATGTTAGTTATCCATAAAATTTATGTAAATTCCAGGTCATATGACCAACTAATGAAAGCATGTGGATGCTTGGCCATGAGGGAGGGACCAGTCTATTCTCAGAACATGGGCATACCAAAGAGTCCTCCAGTAAGGGAAGGGGGTGAAGGTCATTGGCTGCCACCTCAGCTTGCCCTTCCTATGCAGGGAGGCTGGTTATTTCCTTGTCTGGGGGGCTCCATGGGCTCTCTCTTCATGGCTGGTCAGGCCTGCTGGGCCTCAGCAGTGCACAGATCACTGGTAACCATGCTCTGGCTGTCCCACCCCAGCCTGACCATCAAGGAAGCCTGCCCAGGTGAGGGTGTAAGGGCAGGAGGGGAGCATATGGCCAGGTTCTGAGAGGAAGGGAAGTGGAGAACATATGGTCCCAGAATCTACTACAGGCTGTGGCAGATTTTTAGAAGCCACGAAAATGTGATTGGAATGTGAGATGGTGCTCTAAAACCAGCTCTGCAGGCCTGAGTAGGGGTCAACCCAGAGGACAGAGGAGAGAAGGCTGGACTTGGCTGTTATCCCTTAGACCCACAGCTTTATCCAATGCAGCCAGGGGAGAAACTCAAATCCCCTTTGCCATCTTTATATTCCAGGAGTTCCTTAATAAATAATCACTTGCATTGCTAAAACTGTTTATGCTTATCAAATGCAGTTCGCCCCTATGTTTATTTCATCTTTATAGTTACCCTATATGCATACTATTTCCATTTTATAGATGAAGAAATTGAGACTCAGAGTGCTTAAGTAACTTGCCAATGGCTACATGGTTGTTAAGCATCAAGCCAGGATTTAAATCCAGGTCTGCCTGATCCAAGACTAGCACTCTACACTGGATAATTCCCTGGTGTTCTTGAAGCAGGGAGGCCATCCATCCTTCCCATGACCCTTTCCAATTCACAAGTTAGGGTTATAGCTAGACCTGGCCAAAGGACTGGAGGCGTGGGGCTCAGGATGGATGGCAAAGAAACAGAGGCTGGGAGTGGGTGGGAAATAAGTGGCTGAAAAGTAGACTTAAGGTAGGTGTAGAAATTGTATGTGAGTGACAGTCCTGTGCAGGGGTGTGGGGTATGGGGTATAGGATGGGGCAGAAACTCTAATACTCCTTGCCCAGGGTGGTGTGCTGGTGGTATTTTCCACTTATGCTCATGGTTCTTGATTAGAGGTGTTTCAGTATATGAACCCCATGGGAGACGCTAGAGGATTCTTCTATTTCAGGCCAGGCAAACATGATGCAAATTAGATTTCAACTCTGATCATCTGGTAATGGTTGCTTGGAATTTTAGATTGAAAAGGCTCATTGGGAAAAGGTATATTTTCCATGGATGCTGAGATAGGAAACTGTGGCATGTGTTCTCCAACTCCTCTTTACAATTAGGCCTAAACTGTCCTCATGAAACCTTTTCCTGGGAATCTTGGGGGTTGAGGACTAGCAAAGACACAGCAACACACAAGAGTATGCTTGAGCAATTGTCTTGGTTGATTATAGGTAGGGAAAAGTGACCCAACCAATAAACTTCCCAGAAGGTTCAGACCCAGGGAGGGAAGCGGTAGGCTGCTGAGGGGCTCCCCCCTGCCACGTGCCCCTGTCCTTACTGTGTGAGTTCTGCAGCTGAGTCACAGCAGCCATGAAGGGCTGCTGGCCCATGTGGCTGCCTGGGCTCTGCTGCATGAGAGGCTGCTGGTGAGGACTGTGCAGCTGCTGGGAGAACTGGACAGGCTGCAGGGCTGCCAGGCTGCCGGCCACGCTGTTGATGACTGGGACGCTCTGTGCTTGGGAGGTGTTGAGGCCTGTGGGAGCAGGAAGGAAAATCAGAGATGGCTTCTGGGATGAGGAGAGGTGGATGGATGGCAACAGGCGTTCACTGAGCCCCTGCCAGTCACTGGGCTGAGCCTGTTACCTAAGAGATTGCATGGGAAGTGCTTTTCTAGACAAAGAAACTGAGACTTGGAGAGATTAATTTACTTGTTCAAATTCCAGAGTGAGTTGTGGGTTGGAGACAGGCTTTAAACAGATCTGACTAAGCCCGAGAGTCTCCCAAAGTCATCCTGTGACCTCCCAAACTTGGTCCCATGAAGTTTCTGGGGCCCTGGAAAAGCTGACTCTACTTGCCCACACCATCTATGCTGGATGTGAGAGAGACTTGCTCTGGTGACCTCAGGGCAGAGTTAAAGGTGTCCACTCCAAGGCTGTAGTCCCCAACCCCCAGGCTGAGGACTGGGACCAGGCTGCAGAGCTCCGCTGCATGCCCCTCACTGCATCTTCCCACCCATGGAAAACTTGTCTTCCATGAAACTTAGGAACAGGGGCTGAGGGTGGGGGTGCATACAGCAGGGGGTGAACAGCAGGCAAGCCAGGGAAGCTTCATCTATACAGCTGCTCTCCATTGCTGGCATCACCACCTGAGCTCTGCATACCCTCCTAATCCTCAGTCCCCACCTGCCTGGGCTGTGGAAAAATTGTCTTCCATGAAACCCATCCTTGGTGCCAAAAAGGTTGGGGACTGCTGTTCTAAGGCACAGATTATTGCCCAGATCTGTCTGTCCAGCAGAGGGCAGAATGAGGGCAGGGACCCACATTTGGATAAAAACAAAACAACCTCCATGGTCCTGAGAGTATGAAGTCTGAAGACCCTCATTTAGTAGACTGTACAAAGACCGTGAGAGTAGTCAGGTGCCAACTCTCTTGACTTAGCAAAGAGGGGAAAAAATACTGGAAATCGGCTAGTCTATGAAGCAGGCATATCTTATCTGGCAGCACAGGGCTAGTGGCATCAAAAGGACCAGGTTTTAGATGGAAGAAATAGTAGGTTAAAGGATGGCCCTTGGCAGTTACAGTGGGTCTTGCCATGTTTCTGTTCAAATCTTCTAGAAGGGCCTCTGTGGTTTGGTAATGCATCTATCCTGAGGCCTCATTAGAACCTGGGCCATTCCTGCAAGGATTGGGTCCCCTGGTACCCATGCTCTGTATGTTCCCTGGAGTGGACTTTGGGGAAGACAGCAAAGGCAGGGTCAGTGTGGGGACAAGAGGATCAGGAGAGAATACACCCCAGCCTCTTTCCTAGAGCACCCATATTCCTTTATTCTTGCTTTCTGGGAAGTGGAGGAAAGAATGAGATGGAGAAGGAAATCCAGAAAAGGTATATTTTAGATAGATATGGAAGGGCCACTTAGAGAGACTTCCCTGAAATGGAGAGGGGTTCAAAAGCAGGTTGGTGGGAAGTCCTCAGTGGAGATAGCACAAAGTCCTCAACAATTGCCCACTCAGAGCTTTAGCTGATACTGCTATCAGAAACCTAAAAGGTGAGACCCCTGAGCAGAAAGGGAGGGGGAATAATCCCCTTCCTAGCTCTCCTGGGTGGGGTTGTGGGGGTGGGACCCTCTGGTCACCCTCAGAATAGCACTATTTCCAGTTCCCCAGGGGGCTCAGCTTCTCCCCAGGCCAGCGTCTCATCTGATACCCAGATATCCCGTTTACCTTTTCTACCTGTGTCCTAGGAAAACCCATGAATTTGCTGTTTTTCCAGGAGTCCACTGCTGCTGCTCTTTTTGGAAATCTCTGCCCAGAAAAGAAAATTATCCTTTCTAGAGTGGATGACATTTGAGGGCATAGTTCTGAAACCTGCCTGTGCTTCAGAATCATCTGGGAGAGCTCTTTAAGAAATACACATTCCTGGGTCCCACCCAAGACTTAATGAGTCAGAACCTTCCAAGGTGGAGCCCAGGAATCTTATTTTCAACACAGTCTGTGATCCTGATGTGCCTCAATTCCTGATGTGCTCTCAATTCTGAGAGCTCCCACAGTGGGTGACTCTTGGCCTTTTCATCTGTTTCTGGGCACTGGTTTCTGCTTGGGAAGCATGCTATCCAGTCGAGAGTAGAGAGGAGGAAGGGAATGTGACAAAGAGGTGAGAATGAGTAGAGAATGAGGAATTGGCACTGCCAAGTAATCTGTTATTACATTCTCCATGGGCTTCTGCGGTTTGTCGTGAGGTAGGGCCTGTGTATTCAACAACACACCTAAATGAGGGTGCCTGACACTCCACAGGGTAGCACCACTGTGTCTTGGCAGTGTTCCAGTGATCCTCACCATTCTTCTTGCTCTGTCCACCCTAAGTGGACACATAAACACACATGCACACAGAAACACACACCCACAGACGTAGACACACACATACAGACATGTACATACACATCTCCTTCTAAGGTGAGTATGCTCTGGTGTTGCCCATTTGCAGTAAGAGATTAAGATCATTGTGAGAGGGTAGAAAAGTATGGGTGGAGGAAATTAGGAGGAATAAAATTGAAAAATATGGAATAGTGTTAGGGAAAATTTTAATTCAGATAGTGCCTGAAAAACTATATATAATTGTATATGTCAGTCAAAGCTTGGAATGGGTAGAAAGCAGGTAAATGGGACAGTTTATATATCATTTTGGTTGTAGAAATAAGGAAGTGGAATATCTTACCCATGGGCCTTTTAATCAAATCTTCTAGAAGGCAAACAAGCTGGTTTTAGGAATCCTATCTCATTCTCAATCCAAACCCCGGTATTAGTAGGGTGACCCATATTCCATATACTGGAGTACCCAGTGAAAAGGCAGCACATTTAAAATAATTTTTTGTTTTGTGAATCACCTAAAGCCTGTTCTTCTAATGTCTATTCTTATTTCCTTCTGCAAAGATAAACACAGCGTGTGTCAATTTCCAAGCTGCTAAGGATAGAGTGAGAGCCACACATGTTCATTCAATAAATTTGTGTGCCTCCTATGGGCCTAGCACTGCTCTGACTTCAAAGGATGCATAAGTCATTCTTGTCAGAAGTGATCTGAGTTCCTACCCTAGCTAGAGCTGATTTAGGGAAAGGAGGGAAGGAAAAGAAAAAGTCAGGGAAAAAAACAAAGAGATGGCCAACATGGGCACTAGACACAAGGGAGGTCAAGAGGACAATGGGGCAATACAAGGTTGAAAGAAAGATGACTAATGTCAAGATGAGCCTTGGATCTATCCTGAGACATCTCAAGAATATTCCCAAGGCTCACACTGAAGGTTCTGAGAAATAATGACTTGGCCAGAGATGTCATGGTGAAGCTGAAAATATGCTGAATACTCTTCAACAGTAAAACTCTTAGGGAGACACCCCCAGCCACAGCCTGCTTCAGCCCTCTCATGCCCTGAAATGGCCCATCTATGACAGGCACAGGCTCGCTGGAGAATATAAGGCCTCTTGGAGCTGGAAGGACCTGACCTGTCTCTCCATCTTCAGGCATGCCCCTAAACAACCTATTTCTCCTTAAAGTTTTCAAAACTCTGAGATACCATGACAGTTTCCCTCTGGGTCATCCCTTAGTGTATTTTCACCACTGGCCAAGGAGGTCTCTCAAACCACAAAGATCCCCTGTTTAGAAGGAATTCCATCAAGTCTCACTCCATCTTCACCAACACAAAGAACCTCTAGGAAATCTACCACATGCTTAGGGATATGAATGAATATAAGACAAAGTATAAGCTATGACATTATGCACATTCATGCTTTATAGATTTACAAGCATGTCCATGTTTGCTGTCATTTGATCGCCTCAACAACCCATTTTATAGATGAGGAAATTGAACCTCATTAGGTTCAATAATTTGACCTAGTACAGCTAGTAAACTATGACTAGGATTCAAATCCATTCCACAATTTTCTCTTGTTTTAGGCTAAACAATCCAAATATTGTTGAGGAGAGAGATAAGAAGGTAAGGAAGTTAAATCAAATCTACAAATTGTGGGTGAGTTTGAAGGAGATCTATAGTTGTTTTTTTGTTTGTTTGTTTGTTTTTTTACCATGTTGACTCACTTTCCATTCTCTTTCTCCCTGTCCCCAAGTTTTCTGACCAAGAACAGAACTTACTTTGTGCAATTGCCATGACTCCAGAGAGGGGGGTCATGATGAGGTTTTGAGATTGCTGGGGATTATGGTGGGAAAGGCTGTGGATATTCGTCAAGGTGCTGACTGGGGGCAAACCTCCTCCTGAGACTGAGATCTGTTAGGGAGAAAAAAACAAGAGCAGCATGAGTGGACCTGGAACCACAAACAGCAGTTTCTAAAATGATATGACTTAGCAATTCCTTGGCACAGCTAGTTCACAAATTCATTCATCCATTCATTCATTCACTCAATAACAATTATTAAGCTCCTACTGTAGGACAGACACTGTTCTAGGTGCTCAGGACAGAGCAGTAAGTAAAATAGACAATAATCCCTGCCTTCATGGTGCTTCTACTTGGTGACTATCTTTGAGTTACCAGCCTGCTTCAGAAATTATGAAGGGTTGGGGGAGATTAGCCATTATTGGATTTCTCTATTTCTTCACATCTTCACTATACATTATAGACTAATTAATTAATTAAGTCAAGGGGCTGATATTGTAATGACTAAACAAGCCTTGGCTCCAGGCACCCTCATTCTGTTTCACCATTATATTTTAATTATAGATTAGTAAGGGAAAGCTGTTTTTGTGTATTTACTTTGTACACGACCGCCTTATAGAATCTTATAGAACTTTCTGAATAGTATTAAACAATAACAGCTGTAATCAATGTGCTTGTTTTGATTCTGATGTTATCAGAAATGTTTCCAATTTTCTTCTGTTAATTAGAGTTATAAGGGATCTATCAGTTTATACACATACACACACTTTTTTGATGATAAATTAGTTTACTATTTACTATTTATAAACTAAAAATAGTTTACTATTTTTTAAAATATTTTTTAGAATTTTTTTTTTTGAGATAGAGTCTCGCTTTGTTGCCCAGGCTAGAGTGACTGCTGTGGCATCAGCCTAGCTCACAGCAACCTCAAACTCCTGGGCTCAAGTGATCCTACTGCCTCAGCCTCCCGAGTAGCTGGAACTACAGACATGTGCCACCATGACCGGCTAATTTTTTCTATATATTTTTTCTCTATATATTAATTGGCCAATTAATTTCTTTCTATTTATAGTAGAGACGGGGTCTCACTCAGGCTGGTTTCGAACTACTGACCTCGAGCAATCCGCCCACTTCGGCCTCCCAGAGTGCTAGGATTACAGGCATGAGCCACCCCGCCCAGCCATTTTTTAGAATTATTAAGAAAGGATTGTCCTCCCTCATTCTGAGCTAACTCATATGTTCCTGAGAGCATCAGGAACTCTGAGAGGTGACTTACGGTTTAGGATACATGAGATATCTGAGCAACTCAACTTCCCTTCTCCCATATTTCACTCCCCAGAACTCTTCAGACCATATTTCTCACAACAGCACCCAGGTAAGAAGCCATCTCTTGCCTTGCCCTTCTGGTCAACCCCATAGCTACCAAGGTTAATTTGAAAAGGAAAGAAAGAAAAAACCAAACAGGTTTGTTTGTGTTTTTAAAATGAGCATCAAGAAATGAGTTAGGGGTCACATGACCAAGAAGGAATTCTGACCACATCAAACAAGAGAGAACCAGCCTGTTTGCTGGACTTGTTTTTTAAAATGTCAGAGTCATTAAAAAAAAAAAAAAATCTGTAACCTGCCCTCAGACTGAATCCCTTGGGTAACGTAGTCCTTTGGAGAAAGTCAATGAAGTGACAGTAATTACTCTGCCATTTCAACATTTGGTTTTAATAGTGTGAGAGAAATGTGGAAGCCAATGATTAAAACAATTTAGATATGTGTGGCTGTAGGGTTTATACAAGGGCTTTCACTAATCGTCCTTAATAGATAATGACACAAATAAGGGAGGCATTATTATTATTGTCTCTATATGACAGATTAAGAAACTGATCCTCAGAAGAGTCAAGACTAGCTCTATGTCACCTGATTAGTGAGAAAGCCAGCCTTTAAATCCATTTTTGCTGGCGTTTAAATCCCATCCACTTACTAAATTTGAGTAACCTTGGTCAAGTCACTTCCCATTCTGAAATGTAACTATTATTTTCTGTTTGCCTCCAGGACTCATGGAAACCAGGGAACTGTTAAGGATATTGGTGGTGATCCTAACCTGATAAACTAGGAGAGCTGGAATTGTTAATGCTGCCATTTCCAGTCCCTTCACTATGCTAAGTGCATCAACATGCCTATAATCTATGAGGTTGGTATTGTTATCCCTACTTTATAGACAAAAAAACTGAAGTTTAGAGGAGTTAAGTGGTAGAGTTGGGGTTGAAAGCAGGCTATCTGCTTCCAAGGCCTGAGCTTTTTACCACTAAGCCACACTGCTGTGAAAGTATCCAGTGTGTGCTTTTTAAAAAACAAAACAAAATAAAAATGAGAAAAAAAGGTTCAACACACAGACCACAGCTCTAAACCTGGCCAGCTTTTTGTCAATGCATGCCACTTGGGCATAAGGATGGGAGGCAGACAGTGCAACAGAAAGCTCAAATGGATCCAAAACCCATCCCTGGGGGAAGATTCCAAAGGCATGTCCTGCTGAAACAGAGACTATCATTCCTAGAACAGGTCTTACCCAAAGAACAACAGAGCTACAAACAATCTTCACACCAACCCTATAACATAGGCATTATTATCCCCATTTTACAGATGAAGAAACTGAGGTTAAGCGATTTATCTGCCTTGCTACTGGTGAATGACAGAGCCAAGGCTTGGACATGCTGATTCCCTTGCTATGTTCCTTTTTAATCATATTCTGCTCTTGCTGTGGTGGGCCAAGACTTGTGATGGCCTTGTTATATATTAACAGAGAACAGACTCTTGAATTTGGACATCCAGTAATAGTGACACAACACATGAGCCAGGGTGTTGGAGACAAGAGAAAAGCCAGTCCCTGCAAACAAGCTCCCAGGTGTTTGCTAACGTTGAGGTGTGCAGTCTTGGTCAATCATCAATCCAATAATACACTGCCCAGGTAGGGCACTGCCAAGCAGAACAGGAAGAAAAAAGCGTGTCTGCAGGCTGCACTTGGAGCAGCCCCAGCTTGGGTGAGGCAGTTGGCCTCTTCGAAGAAGAAGCGGGAGAGCTCAAAGGGAAACCCCAAGGACCTTCAAGCTATAAGAGCTGAGACTTGGAAAGTTTTATTCACTGAGAAGTCAAGGTCCCCTTCTCCAGGGAAGCTGGGATAATCCTTAACCCTAACTTGTTTGGGTTTCAACATGACTCTTGAGAACTCATAAAGCCTTGTCTGTGCCTCTCACAGGTAGCTGACACAAATTGTTCTTCATGAAGAAGAATCTTTCTTAAGGGATGGGGAGAGGCAAAAGGGGCTGCAAAATGCCTTCACTAGGGGTGCCCTTTCATTTTTGTTTGCAGCTCAGGTGCCCTGAAACTAGAGTTGGCCGGGCCAGGGCTACCCTCAGAAACTAGACTTTGTTTTTCCTCCAGGGAGCCAGGGACTCGATCACCTGTGACTCACCGTTCCTGTGTTGCCTACACAGCACACACGTCAAGGTCTGAAATGGCATCTGCTCCCTGCTGCCCTCCCCCAATTCCAGCCCCCACCTGCCTCTGGGTCAGACACCTTGAGGGAGTGTGTGCAGCTCCACCTTCAGTGTGGAAGTCAGGAACCTGCGGCTCCTCCCTCCCCTGAAACACACAGCATGACCCAAAGAATAGTTTTCCATTTCCTGCCCTTGCTGGTATTCTCTCATAAGTTGCTCTCCCCTGCACTTGTGTTGCTAGAGGATTGGAACCTAATCCTAATTAGAACCTAATTTGAATTAGAACATTCAAATTCAAATTATCCATTCCTCACCAAGCGTGCTCAACTTAATCTGGGTGTGGGGTTGTGGTTGTGGATATAGAAAACTCCATTTCCTAAGAATAATATTGACATTAACATAAAAACGACACTGCCATATAGTGAATATTTACTACACCGAACACTGTGCAGAGTATTTTGAATGTGTTATCACACTTATTCCCTCAACAATTCTATTGTTATTACCCTCATTTTATAGATGAGGAAAAGAGACCTAAAGTAGTTCAGTAACCCACCCAAGCTGCACAGCTATGAAGTGCTGGCGCTAGGATTTGAACCCGGGAAATTGTAATTTCAAAGCCGGGGCTTCTCCCTCTGTAAGCATCGTCCCACCCCTCCTGCCATTTTGTGCCATGATCTTCACTGACCGGGCATCAAAAGTCCTTCAGAATTCCAGGTTAAAACCTTCCCCCACCTCCTGCCACCCACTAAATCTTGACTTGCTAATGACTCTCCTGCCTGTACCAAGGGGGTGGTAAGGAGGAAGAGGGGGTTTGTTTCAAAGAGAGGTGCTCTCTGAGTTAAAAAATTGGCTTTGGAGGCCTTGGAGGGGAGGGAGGAATGGACATTTTATCAACACACATGTCATTGGCAGCCCCTAAACAAACAGGGTCCCACCCGCTTGCTCCTTTATGAGGCATTCAATCAATAAAATGAGAGCGGAGCGCTGTCAGATTTATTGGCTGGGTTCAAACTGAACACCTCTTCTACCCGCCAGAGGCTGGGTCACCAGCACTACCTTTCCCTTCCAACTCCAACAGCTCCCCATTTTCCCCTGTGAGGCTACAATGGTCCATTGTTTGAGGCAGGCCTTGTGAGAAGTTGTGTTTGTTTTGCCTCTTATCTTATCAGCTCCAGGGCTACAATGGCCCAGGTGTACTCACCATTTTAACATCAGGTGAGAGGAGATTGTGGCCGGGGTCCAGGCTAGCTGGGGAGACTTGCTGTAAAACTGACGGGCTGGTCACCATAGCGCTGTTGCCATGGTGACTGATTGTTGAGGAGGAAGTGACTTCATTGTTTCCCTGCTGGCTGTAGCGCACTCCTGCAAAACAACACAAACCCAACAGGGAACATTAGTGCCACCAAGGCTCTGGAACAATGACTTGGCTCTCCTTGTTTTCAAGGGTGGATGACAAAAAAACAAAGTTGCCTTCTCCTCCCCTGTCTACCCACAAGAAATATTGGCTGTCTTTCTCCAAGGGTAGAGGTGGCCTAGTCTGTGCTTTAATTCTCGAATGTAAGCTCCATGAGGGCAAGACATTTCTATCTGTTTTGTTTTGTTCATTGCAGTATCTCTAGTGTCTTGGCACTTGGTAGCCACTCAATAAACATCTGTTGAATAAATGAATGAACAACTGAGTGGATTCCACTTATTATTGTCTCAGCACAGTTCTTTTAGGATTTAAGCACTGAGATTGGCCTTCTCTTACTGGCTGGGGTATTTCTTTCATTCTTCAAAATGTCTTCTAGAAATGTTTGCCTGGCATCTTGTGGCTATGTGGTGCTGCTAAGTATGAGTTGACCCATTTCAAAGAAGATGCACTTGTGTAGTGACCTTTGAAAGAGCCATAGCTTATGCATCAGTCTCTGTGTACCACCTTTTGGCCAAGCCCAAGAGGCCAGGGGAACACAGCCAGAGTGGGACAGGGATGGGGCTGCAGCCAGGAGTCTTTGGCTCTGGAACTCACATTCCTTTGATGGGGTCCCATTTGGCTGACTTCCAGGGCACTGGGAAAGGCCCATCTGCCGGGAGGTGGGGCAGGCAGCACACACAGGCAGGTTGTGGATGCTTAGTAAACCACTGCAGTTTGGTCTGCAAGGGAGGGGAAGAACCAAGCATGTTTACAACCTCACTGTTTGGACCCTCCCTCTTGCTCAGGAACCAAAATAGAAGTCTGCTCTTAGGAAAGGAAAGTGCTAGACAGAGATCAGGCAACTGAAGGAAGCCAAAGAAGGGGAAAGAAGTTGGGTACAGTTCGCAGACACAAGTCCTGCTTGATGTGCCCATGAAACAGCCAAGGACAAGGCTGGGGGTCCTTGAGGGCATCTCACACTAAGCCCCATGGTTTGTTGCTTTGGATTTGACAAAAACAGGAGACCAAATGCTCTAGGCATGCAATCATCTGGAGAAGTGGCCAACTCTTTGGCTACTCTTCTCCTTTTGCCCAGTTTTCCAAGATGAACCATTTCTGTACACTGATTCTGTTGCTGTTTTCCTCCTGCCCTGCCTTGAGCCCCAGCTAGAGCTCCACCTTCCAGAGGAGGCTACAAAGTTGCCCAGGGGCCAAGCAAGCTGCCACAACCAGCAGCCTAATTCATTAAGAGGAAGCTTACCAAGAGGAGACCTAAACCAGTTTTCCTTGGATCTTCCTAAGGACATTACCTGAGGCTCTTAAGACCTAGGGCTGGGGAAAAAACAAACAGATGCTAAAGCAGGATTCTAACCTTCAAGAACAACTTGTTTGACTGTGAAGTAGCTTGATGCTTGCATGATGGGCCTTTTCTATTGGTTGTTTTCCCCATCCTTTGATTCAAGGGGCTGCTGGTGGGAGTGGTGTTGGTAGTGGGACAGCAGTGGAATTTGGTGGTTATTAGTCTAGGGCACTACATCTTTTTGGAAAAACAGGAGCCATGAAGTTAAAAAGAGGAAAGGCATCCTCCTCTCCAAGTCAACAGCCCCTGCCTAGTACTGCCCGTCTTCCTCTGCACCTATTTGCAGCCCCCTGTCTCTTATTTACTACCCTCAGTACCATCCCATAGGATTAAATTAGGTCCTTTTTCTGCGCTCACAGTTGCCATTGGGTTCCCAACAGGATGCTTCCAACAGTTCAACGTGTGGTTATATGGAAGAAGAAAGAGATTTGAACCTGTGGGCTCTAAAGACAGAGCAGGATCCCATGGAAGAAAGGGAGGCAGTCTTCAAATAAATAAAAGGAAGAATTCTCTAACAAGGAGGGGCAGTGCAAAGACTGTGGGCTCTGAAGCTCGATGAACTCAGGTTTGAATCTTGACTTTGCTCTTAATCCATGTGTGCTCATGGGAAAATTACTTTCCCTCTCTGCGCCTTAGTTTCCTCTAGGAAAACAGAGAGGATACTTTCTCAACAGGGCTCTTTGTAGATTGGAGATATCATCTGTACAGCTCCTAGTATAATGCCAAATACACGGCAACTATGGGTGGGGATGCTGGGGAAGGGAACTGGTGTTGGACTCAAGACATTTGCTAGAATTGTAGACAATTAGGGCAGATTCTAAGTACTAAAAGAATCCTACTCTGGCAGAACCACTGATGCTTTGTCTGGAAGCAGCTTGGGAGGGAGGCCTGGCTGCTGCCCTCTTGTTCTTTCCTTTCGGAGGAACTGGACTTCACCCTGTTTTTCTCCTGCTTTTTCTAACTCCCTGACCAAGCTATTTACCTCCCCAAGATGCTCTGCTCCTGAGAGAGTGGTGATAATGCTGGGAGTCAGGTGTGTTTTCACCTCCCAGCCTGTCCCCATCATCGATTCAGTCTCAAGTCAAACAGTCTCTGGATTTAGCCTGTTTAATTTGGCTGAAGGAAAAGGGCCAGCCCTCTGATGATCAAATATGGGTCACAGAGAGGCTTCTCCTCTACCACAGGCTACGCAATTATTTATTTAAAAATAATTAACCAAGGATATCCGCAGGAAACAAAAGGCTTCTTTACACGGGATCGTGGCAGGAGAGAGGCAAGAGACATTTGTTAGAATCCAGGCAGCATAGCCCTAGGCTGCTGTAGTTTTCACACTGTTTTCTTCCCTAACAGAACTTCATTATGTAAGAAATATAACGGTGGTGGCCTACACCTATGAACGTTACTTTAAAAGTCTCTGGCTAAGCGAGAGAGCCCTGACTGGCAATTAGGGGATCCCTGTTTTAATCTCAGCTCTGATATCCATTTATTGGGCAAGCTCCAGCTTTCTCTTCTAATAAGCAGGAGGACTGCCCGCTGCAGGGAGGGGGCTGTTGTCATTGCAGTGTCATGGGGGCTAGGCACAAGGCTGCTCATCTCCTCCAGGTCCACCTGTAATCTTTCCCACTGATACTCCTCTCACCAGGAATTTGGAAATTTCTGGCCCCTGAGAGGGTTGCTGTAGTCAGCCAGCCATCTTTTATAGGGATGTGTGTGTGTGTGTGTGTGGGGGGAGCAGAGTACATCACAAGGTGTCTGCAGGCAATACACCAAAAATAGGAGCTCTTGTTAGAGGAAGGAGAGGCTAAGTCCTTGTATATTTCACAAACTCAGAAGAGCACTTGAAATGAGAACAAAAATGGAGTGCAAAGTGTGTAGGCTTGCCTACACAGGTGACCTGGGTTTAAATCTTGACTCTACCATGTAATAGCTGTGTGACCTTGGGGAAGTTACTTAACCTCCCTGAGCTCCAGTTTCTTTATTGATTACAATATCCACCTGTTAGGTCATTGGGAAGAATGCTAAATGAGTTAATGGATGTGAAAGTACCCAGACCATGCTTACCATAGTGTCTTGGCACACAAGGGTTACTCAAAACACACAGTTGCTCCTACTTTGGGACTTTGTCTTAAAGACATTTTTAGGAAGGCTGAGATTACAAAACTTTATAGAGCACCTATGATGTACCAGGCACTTGCTAGGGAGTCTGCATTAAGAAATGGATTGGCATCTTCCCTTCTTCCTTCATCATTGCAAGCTCTGAAAATGACTTATATATAACAAGGGCTCTAGTTTAATATTGACTGGCCAAAGATGGCAAGTTATTAACCACAGAGGACCCACAGGAGAAATGACAATGGCAAATGGTAACCATTCACCTTCCACTGGTTTCTTAGCTCAAGCCACTAATTGGCCCCGATCCCCATCATTGGCCCTATGAACCACAGCAAGTATGTCTAGCAGTAAAAGATATCCCAGATGGAGTCCAGGGACATCCCTGAGGCCCTGGTTAGGAGGTCATCTACTTTCTCTTGTTCCCAGGTCTCAGCATCCTGGGCATTGGGTTATTTTCGAATTCCCAACAGCCTATGGGACAGACACAGCCTCTATGCAATGTGACTAGTCAGAAGTGTCAAAAACATGGAAGAAGTGTATGATTCCAAGAAACCAGCATATCCTGTCCTGCCCTCCTGTGCCAGTGCCATCTTCAGGGAGCTCTTCACACTGCTGCAGCCTGGCATTTCTTTCTAAAACAAAGTCACACGACGTCACTTCCCTGCCTGGATACTTCCGATGGCTCCTCACTGCTTTCTGGAAGAGACTCAACACCCGAGACTGGCAGAATCAGGCCTTCATGACTCCAGTTTGCCTTGTTTGCATCATCTTTCACCATGCTCCGTACAGCCCCACCAGAGTACCTGCCATTTCTCAAATGGCCGTCTCCTGCCTCTGTGCCTTTGCTCATGCTGTTCCTACAGCTTGGAAAGTTCTTCTCTGTGCCACATCCTTTAAGAGGACTAAATGTCACCTCCTCTGAGAAGCTCTCCTTGATTCATCCTGGTAGGCAGCTGCTCCATCTTTTGTGTTTTATATGCACTAGAGACTTAAAGCCAAAGTCAGGCACCCTCTACTCTGATGATATGTTTACTTCTCTCCTTTTTAAAGGAAGATGACATTTTACAACCTCACAGTCTCGTGGAGTGCCCAGCACTGTGAATATTTATTGACTGAAGGAATAAAATCTCAGCTGCTTTGAGTACCCATGCCCCAGAACAAGGAGAATCACTTTTAGCAGAGGAAAATAAGGTCAGTTCTATAGTAATTATTGAATTGAAATTGTGAATCTATTCCAATTCTATTGCTATATTAGGGAATAATTTGAGTGAAATGTGAATTTCACACTTAACAAATACTAGGTGAACAGAAATCTGCACCCAGCTGAATGGAGCCACGTAGGAATATACTAAATGCACCCATGCATGCACACACACAGCCTTCGAACATTGCCAGCTACCTCAGTTCGCTGCATGTGCGTATAAGCTACATCCATGCACATGTGGAGTCACGACTGTCCTGTTGAGTTCAGATAATCCCCCGTCCATCACTTCACAATAACTCACAAGGTACAACACTTCTGATGCCCACTTCCTTAGGCAAACTTCAAGTTCAAGTGCCATATTTACTGTTGCACAGCATTTATGTATTTCTTAGCCATTTTACAGGTATAGAACTCCGGTAATGTTTTTATTGGATTCTTATCTTTTTAAAATGTGCCACTGAGGAAGTTTGTGAGTGTTATATCCTTAACCTTGGTTTTCCCACAAGTCCTGTGGTTTTTATTGGTGATTTTAGGATGCGTATGTTGGGTTATACGGAACCAATTGTGCATGTGTGTTCAAAGACAGACACAACTGCCTCACAGGGGAACCCCAAAGAGCAGTTGCTCAGAGTGTTATTAACCACAGAGTCTTTTCATAAATTTGTGCTTCAGGGGCTTAGGACTACAGCCCTAGAAACCTAATCTAGGCTCTAAGAGCTTAAAAAACCAGCTGAGACCCCAATTCCACAATTCCAGAGATTAACAGGCACCAACCTCTAGATACTTTTTTTTTTAATTTTATTTTATTTTATTTTTTTTTACATATATAAACACAAGTGTATAGATACTTTAACAATCTCTCTCTCTCTCTCTCTTTCTCTCTCTCTCTCTCTCTCTCTGCCTTAATTCTCCCATGATTCTGGGACAGTCAACTTTTGGGCCTTGCCATTTTTGTCTGTAAAATGGGCATACAGATCTCCCTTCAGCAGGCAGAATGATGAATGGATAAAATAGTATCAGAGAAGCACTGGGTTCTTCTGGGAGAGAAAATGCTGGGTAAACAGAAGAGCAAAGTCAGCCACAAAAGCATGACCATAATTGCTCTTTTAGTAAGAAGAGAGGAAGGAAATGGAGACTCCTGGGCCATGTGGGGCTCAGCTTGCTCCCCATGTGGCCATTGGCACTGAAGCCTGGGGGTTCCTTTCATTGGTATCCGTGAGCTGCACCCAGAGTCTGGTGGGATGCCTTTCACCCTTGACATTTCAGAGCTAACCTCCCATCCCTGATAATGCAGGAATGTTCCTCTGGCTGGTGGACCTCTGCCAGCACTGAGTCCCAGCCACCAACAGAGTAAACATTACTCAACTGGCCAGGGCTCTGTCACACACATTCTTCCCCTGTGTTCCTAACCTCATGCAGAGCGCAGCCCAACCCTGTTGGGTCTGGAAACTGGGAATTTAAACTCAGACAGGAGGGAGCATGCAAGGGAAAAAGCTCTTCTAAAAGGAAATAACCATGTCCATAAATTATGGGTAAACAGAACTGTCTTTCCTATGAAGCCAAAATACTGTGTTGGGGAGAGTACTGTGTCCTGACAGTTCCACCTTCTCCCTAAACACAAGTTCCTTTTTCTGAGGACAGAGGCAGAGAGACAAATAATTCAGTCCAGTGAACTTCTGAGATGATCATTTGGAATAAAAGAAGAATGTGAATAATCCCCCAGCTTGAAACAGGGAACTTCAGAAAGAAAGCTTGCAAATGAGTTAGCATTGCTGCCTCAGTTTCCTCATTTGTAAGACAGGACTTTTGCCAGTTCTTATTAATATTTCCTCCTCTCCTATGATAAATATTCATGTTTGCAAGAGAGTTTAGGAGATTAAAACTCTGAAAGTCTGGGAGGAAAGAGCTGATGCAAGATGAAAGCAATTTAAACACTGGACTGGTTTCAATTCCAGATCTCTTTCTACCTAAGGTGGCTTAGTTAGGAACTCAATTCATAAGAGGAGGAACACAGACAAGCCTGCAATGATGGTAAACATTCTTGACTCAAGGAGTAAAAGTTGAGTGATACTTAAGGGAAGCCCACAAACTGGTTTTCTTATAAAAATCAAAGCAAATGTAACTAAGAAAAGAAAAAAAAAATAGTCTTCCATCAAAAGCTTCTTAGATGAGAACAGAAGCTAATGTGCACAGTGCACCTGAAGAAAATTGCACATGTGGGGGGGGGCGGGTAGAAGAGCAGCAGAAACTCCGGGTGTCCTCTCCTGCAAGGTCTACCTCTGCCACTCCGCCTCGCCCTTACCAGAGGGCAGGTTTATGCAGGCAAACATCAGGTGGTTTGTAAGGAACACTCCAGCCTGAAGACTGTTGCTGCAGGTAAAAGAAACCAGCCAGCCCTAGGGGGACTGGGCAGTCCATACATACGCATTTTATACCACCTGATTCTTGATGTCTCAAAGATGCCCATTCGACAGAGTGGGAAACTGAGGTTCGTAGAGGGCAAAGCCATTTTCACTACTTCTCGCTAGGGGTCTCCCAGCCAGTCAGTGGTATTTCAAAGCTGACCCTTCTCCCTTTCCTACATAAACCCCAAGTAGACTCCAGATATGTTGAGCCTCTCCTTCATAATAGTTTGAAATGATTTTATGGTTTGTTTACTTGTTTCTCGGCGGCAACCCTCAGTGGAATGTAACCCCATGAGGGCAGGACCTTGCCTGTCCTCTCCACCATCTCCTTGGTACCTTGCACAGAGCCCAGCCCATGCTAGGCACTCAGTAAACATCTGCTGAAGGAGCAAATGCTGAACAAATGACTACGCTCCAACTTGGACCAGGGCTCCACACCCCTTCCCCTTTAGTCTGTTGAGCTGAGCGGCGGCAAAGAGACTGTGGTATATAATTTATCCTCTAAATCTCTTGGTTTTTCTATGGGGAGGGGGAGGCAGGCATTCTTTTTAAGAAGGGAGAAGAGAAGGAAAGAGAGAGATTAAAATAGAATCAGAATGGAAGAAACGGTATTGACATATTTGGGCAGTTTCACGTTTAAACGCACAAGGTGGGTGAGGTGAAGAGCAAGAAGGATGCAGCAGGACTTTCTCCGCACACTGAGATTTGGGACAGTCAGTGCTTTGTCTTGTGCAAAAATGGCCAGGGAGATGCCTGTGGGAATGACCCATTCTCTACTTCTTGAGGCATAAGCATAACACCTATTACCTGGAGCTCTTTAAGGGAGGTGGGTGGGCACTTCCATTAGCCCAGACTGACCTTTTCTAAAGGTTTAAGGCTGTGAGTAGGAACCCCAAATGTAGACTCACCATGTTAGAACCCAATTTGGGGCCGGCTGGGTTGATTTGGGGATAAGGAAAAGGGTTGATTAATGGGAACTTACTTTGGCAACCTAAATAACTTAAATGCCTTTTTCTCCAAAGAAACCAGGGTAACACTGGGAAGGGTTAATGGTGGACATGGTTAGGCCTATGGGCTGTGAGGACAGACAGTGCCCTGCTGCAGTCTGGCTCCTGGGGTCTGGTCTTTTCTGAGAAGCTGCCTTTGCAGGCAGGAATAATATAGCTGCAACAAAGGCCCTAGGCTTGGCTGACAAGGAGGATGGTGATGCTCCTAGTGGGTCTGGGCAATGGGAGAAAGGCTATAAAGCCATCAGCAGACCGAGCCACTGTATCCACACAAAAGTAGGGCCCTATAAACAGACATCTGTATTGTGACTGAAGGGCTAATAAAATTGCCTTAGAAAAGGAAGGTTTTCCACTGCAGCCTATTCATAAGCAGGACCCTACTGGGAGCTGATACCCAGGAAGAAGATCCTTTGAGGCCTGGCAAGTGTCAGAGCTGCCTCATTATAGGGGTTTGCTTGGCCAGACCCAAGCCTCTTCATCACTGTCGCTGAGGACATCTCCATCAGCATCATTATCATCATCATCATCACCATCATCATGACAGATAGCCACAGATCCCCCAGCAGGCCCATGGATGCTGGGCCCAGGGAGCACCAGGTGTTGGTTACTTAGACCTTGGAAGGTAGATCATTACTGGCTTCCATTCTGCTGGGAGAACAGGAGCACCCGCCAAGCGATCAGTTTTGTTTCTGTCTCTCTGATTTGCAGTGAGTCCAATCCCTTTTCTAGACTCCATTTTGCTAATGGAAATTCAAGAGGAGTAGTTCTCACTCTTTTCTTGTCCTAGGGATATTGGTAAGAGATTATAAAAGGAATTAAAGTAGTAGAACATTGAATTAACTATTAGAACTAAACTAAATGAATAGATTAAACTAGTAAACTAAACTACTGGAAACTAAACTAGTAGAACATTAGAAAGAGTCATAATATATCCTTTGAAAACTTTATGGTAGCATTTAATGTTGACATTATTTTTGTGAACTGTATGCTCTGGTTAAGCAGTGTTAATAGGGGTTGACCTGGATAACACTGTTTCTAGAAAAGATAAAATATGCTTCAAATAATAATATATACATATGTTATATATAATGAAACTAATTCTATGCTCAGTTTAACTCCAAAACTAGATACCAAACTTATAAAACAGGGGGGTTATGCATTAAGCTTTGACAGGAAGCCCTCTATAATAGATATCTTCATTCCACAAATGTATGGAGTATCTCATGTGCCAGGCATAGGACTGTGGGCTGGAGACATAGTGGTGAAGAAATTCAACTCATGCTTAGATGTTGGTACAGACCACAGTTCTACCACTCAGGATACATACATAGTGAGCTAGGTGTTTAGAGACTTCAGGAACCTTCTTCTTCACAGTGAGAATAAGGCTTATAGGTAGATATGAAAATTTATATTTCACCTGGATTCTAGACAAGCAGTTCCCAACCTTTTTGGCACCAGGGACCGGATGCATGGAAGACAACTTTTCCACAAACCCTGGAGTGGGGGAATGGTGAGTGATAGGGAGCAGCTGTAAATACAGATGAAGCTTTGCTCACCTACCATTCACCTCCTGCTGGTTCCTAATGGGCCACGGACCTATACCAGTCCATGGCCCCAGGGGTTGTGGACCACAGTTCTAGACAACGAAGAGGACATATTTCTGTTTCCATCTGTAAAACACTTAGAGATAAATTAAGCACTTGCTTTGTATCCCCCATGCAAACTGATGTTACACAAATAGGAGATGTCGTTTAGGAGTTTTCCACCCTTGCTGAATAAGAACCACTTGGGCTTCATTGCCAGCCCAGTCCAACAGATGCTGATCAGGAATAGGCACCCTGCAGTGAACGAGGTCAGAAGGCATGGGCATGCAGGCTGCCACTCAAAGGCTCCGAAAGTGTTAACCTCCAGCAGTTATAGGTGTCTCGTTTATACCCATTATAAATCTGTTTATTGTGACTGGCCCCACCCAATCTGCTGGTGCTGTAAAGCTCTAATGATCCCTAATAAAGGTGGAAGGCTTCTAACAGCACATCGTTCCTGAAATGGGGAAGGAGCGAGGGAGCGAAGGAGGGAGAGAGACAGATCATGAGCTCAACAATAAAATATCACAATGGAGAACACCTCCCTCTGCACTTCAAGCAGCAGAGTCCTGGGCTCCCCTGAGCCTGGATGCAACACACAAGCTCCAAACAATAACCTGTGAGTTCTGAAAAGCCCTCATCCAACACCACCCATTTGCCAGAATCCCCAAGAAGTTAAATGATTCACCCAAGGTCACCCCTGCTTCCTAGTGGCTCTGGTCTCTTGAATCCTGGAGCAGGGCTCCTCACCCCAGCTGCCTCTCCTCTCCCAGTTTAGCAAGTGACCATCAGGATTATCATCAACCCCTTCAGAACTCTCCTGCTCTATCTGGCCTAGAGATGTCTAGTGATGTCTAGGCCAGATAGAGCAGGAGCTCTAAATCCAAATCTCTTAGGGCTTTTGTTGAAACTTCACATGCCTGATGCCTGGCCCTCCCTTGCTGACCCCTGCCAATTCTGATTCTAAAGGTCTGGGTGGGTGGGGAGACACTTCTATTTTTAATGCGCTTTCTGCGTGACTTTTATGTGGTCTAGGAAGCAGGTTTGAGAACCATAGACCTTGCCAATACTTGGGTTCCATTGTTTCTGATGTCTCAAACAACAAGCAGTTTCATGGAACGGGAAATTCTTTCAGGGTGAAACTGCAAAGCCATACCCTTGTCAAAAACCAAGGGAAATGCAAAGCTCTTCCTCTCTCTCAATACCCTGAAGGTTCCCAAGTAATCCGATAACACTATAATGGCAG